GACCAGGATGGTCTCGATCTCTTGACCTCGTGATCCACCCGCCTCGGCCTCCCAAAGTGCTGGGATTACAGGCTTGAGCCACTGCGCCCGGCCAACCTTTTCAGTCTTAGGTAAAAGCTACAGTAATCTACCAGCCACTTAAACTATTATTCCAAAGAATCCTTTTATTTAGCACATACTATTATGATGTGCTCTAGGCTAGTTACATATTAGTTTAAAGAGTGAAGAGGGCTGGAAATGGTGGCTCACACCTGTAATCCCAGCACTCTGGGAGGCTGAGGCTGCCAGATCACTTGAGGTCAGGAGTTTGAGACCAGTCTGGCCAACACAGTGATACCCCATCTGTACTAAAAAATACGAAAATTAGCTGGGCATGGTGATCCGTATCTGTAATTCTAGCTACTCAGAGGCTAGGGTAGGAGAACTGCTTGAGCCTGGGAGGCAGAGGCTGCAGCAAGCGGAGATCATGTCAATGCACTCTAGCCTGGGCAAAAGAATAAGACTGTCTCAAAAGAAACAAAAAACAAACCCCACAAAAACCCACAAAATCAGTTCTCCAAATGAAAGACGTAAGAAATACTACTATAAAATGCATAGAGTATCAGTGATGAATAAAACTGCTTATTTTAACAAAAAGAGGTAAATATCCCATGGGTATCCCTCAGACTTGGTGAAACAAGTTATTATTCCTAATGACAGGAATAAGGGATGGAAAAAGTATTCCTCACTGAAAAGAAAGGTCTTTCAAAACAACTGGGGATGAGCGTGGTGGCTCATGCCTGTAATCCCAGCACCATGGGAGGCCGAGGCAGGCAGATCACCTGAGATCCAGAGTTTGAGACCAGCCTGGCCAACATGGCAAAACCCCGTCTCTACTAAAAATGCAAAAATTAGCCGGGCATGGTGGTTCACACCTGTAATCCCAGCTACTTGGGAGGCTGAGGAAGGAGAATCACTTGAACTCAGGAGGCGGAGGCTACAGTGAGTGGAAATCATGCCACTGTACTCCAGCCTGGGTGACAGAGTGAGACTCTCTCAAAAAAAAAAAAAAAAAAAAAAAAAAAAAAAAAAAAAAAAAAAAAAAAAAAAAAAAAAAAAAAAAAAAAAAAAAAAAAAAAAAAAAAAAAATAGGCAAATCGCATTTTTTGCTTCTTAAAAAAAAAAAAAAGAAATGCTTACTCAAGAATTCTATGTTCACTATAGAATGAGAAAATTGAAATACTTGTGTGAAAACAAAAAAGAATCACAATGGAGAAAGAAAATCCTTAGAATTAAAAGGGCTCCTTTATGTTATCTTTGCCAACCTCCCAAGTCATGGAGGAATTCCCTCTCTAAAATTCCTGACAATTTCTATTTCCAGAAAAAAGGCACTCACTATTTCCAAAAAGTAAACCATCCTATTATCCAATAGTTATAGCCTTTCCTTATTTGGGTCCAAAACTGGTTCAATCTGGTGAAACTAAAGAAATTTATTATTTTTTCTTTTCTTTTCTTTGAGACAAAGTCACCCAGGCTGGAGTACAGTGGCATGATCATGGCTCGCTGCCACCCTGACTTCTTGGGCTCAAGTGCTCCTCCTGCCTCAGCCTCTCAGGTAACTGGGATTATTTATATCTGACTGTGCTTGTGAAGGGCAAGACTTGAAAGCTCCAAATTCAGTGTAAAAATGGGAGTGTTCATAAGAAAGGAAAACATGGTAACCCTGCAAATGTCTGTAAGAACCACACTGGAAAGAACTAACTATTCATGCTTGAAAGTATTAAGAAGATTTACTATACAGACATTCCCTACTTAAGAACCATTTGTTCACAGTAAGTTAAGAATCACAAAAGGAGACAGGATCTCACTCCGTTACCCAGGCTGGAATACAGTGGCACAATAATGGCTCACTGCAGCCTTAATCTCCCAGGCTCAAGTGACTCTCCCACCTCAGCCTCCCGAGTGGCTGGGACTACAGGTGTGCATCACCACACCTGGCTAATTTTTTGTAGAGACAATGTCTGCCTATGTTGCCCAGGCTGGTCTCAAACTCCTGGGCTCAAGCAATCTGCCCACCTCAGCCTCCCATAGTGCTGGGATTAGAGGCATGAACCACCACACCTGGCCTTCCTGTACCTATTATTCAACTCTAATTCCAGCATCATCAGAGAACATACTGTGCATGACTTCAGTTCTTTTAAATGTGTTAAGATTAGTTATGACCCAGAATGTGGTATTTTTTGGCAGACTTTCTTGATTCTATAACTGCTTGGTCAAGTGTTATAAAAATTTTAATTAGGCTGAGCTCACACCTGTAATCCCAGCACTTTGGGAAACCAAGGTGGGCAGATCACCTAAGGTCAGGAGTTCGAGACCAGCCTAGCCGACATGGTGAAACCCCGTCTCTAGTAAAAACACAAAAATTAGCCAGGCATGGTGGTGGATGCCTGTAATCCCAGCTACTCAGGAGGCTGAGGCAGAAGAATTGTTTGAACCTGGGTGCCACCGCACTCCAGCCTGGGCGACATAGAGAGACTCCATTTCAAAAAAAAATTAGATCTTGTTGGCCAGGTGTGGTGGCTCACGCCTGTGATCTTAGCACTTTGGGAGGCCAAGGCAGGTGGATGACGAGGTCAGGAGTTCGAGACCAGCCTGGCCAACATAGTGAAACTCTGTCTCTACTAAAAATACAAAAAAAATTTAGCAGGCATGATGGTGGGCACCTGTAGTCCCAGCTACTTTGGAGGCTGAGGCCAGAGAATTGTTTGAAGCTAGGAGGTGGAGGTTGCATTGAGGTAATATAGCACCACTGCACTCCAGCCTGGGTGACAGGGTGAGACTCTGTCTCAAAAAAGAAAGTGAATCCTGAGATAGGTTTACTGAAGTCATCAACTGTAACTGTGGACCTGTTTATTTCTTTTCAGTTCTGTTAGTTTCTTTTTGGATATAGGGTTTTGCTCTGTCACTCGCTGGAATGATGCGGCTCAATCACAGCTCACTGCGGCCTCCAATTCCTGGGCAGCTGGGACCAAGAGGCACACACCACCATACCTGGCTAACTAATTTTGTGAGGAGACACCATCTTACTATTGCTCTGGCTGGTCTTGAACTCCTGGGCTCAAGCATCCTCCCTCCTTGGCCTCTGGAAGGGCTGAGATTACAGGTGTGACCACTGGGCCCTGCCCTATTAGTTTTTGATACACATATTTTAAAGCTCTTTTGTTAGATGCATGCACATTTGAATAATGTCTTCTTGGTGAATTACCATTATGTAATGTCCCCTCTTTATCTCTGATTTTCTTTATTCTGAAGTCTATTTTATATGACATTAATATAGCTCCATTCTTTTTTTTTTAATTAGTGTTTTCATGGTATGTCTTTAACCATCCTTTTACTTTAGACTAGCTATATTATTTTTGAAGTGAGTCATTTAAAAAATCCATTCTAATCTTTGTCTTTTTTTTTTTTGAGACGGAGTTTCGCTCTTGTTGCCCAGGCTGGAGTGCAATGGCGCGATCTCGGCTCACCGCAACCTCCGCCTTTGGGTTCAGGCAATTCTCCTGCCTCAGCCTCCTGAGTAGCTGGGATTACAGGCATGCACCACCATGCCCAGCTATTTTTTTTTGTATTTTTTTAGTAGAGACGGGGTTTTCACCATGTTGACCAGGATGGTCTCGATCTCTTGACCTCGTGATCCACCCGCCTCGGCCTCCCAAAGTGCTGGGA